CATCGGCGACCCACGCGCGACCCACCCGCGACCCACCCGAGACCCACCAACGACCCACCCCGCGACCCACCCGCGACCAACCCGCGACCCATCCGCGACCCACCCGCGACCCACCGCGACCCACCCGCGACCCACCCGCGACCCACCCAGCGACCCACCCAAAATTTTCGGCGCCTGCGGTGACCTTCTTTTGCATTCGTTCCAAGCTTCTTTTGCATTTGTGAAGGCAACGAGGTCCGCCGGCCCGACGCCCGCGTCGCCCGCGCCCGCCATCTCACTCTTATCAGCAATTGCGGGGTGCTACGTATCCATCAAGTACTGCAGGAGTTGTTGGTGCGGGAACCTCTTGGCATCCTGCGATGGTTACGTTGGCTTCTCTGTGCTGAGCCCGAAGAAGCTGCGGCCGACGTGGTAGAGCAGGTCTGCCATCGTCTGGCTGCGCTGAACGCTCAAGGTGGCCTGACACCGACGCCTGACACCGAGCGTGCTCGCAGCGGCCTGACACCGAGCGTTGGCGATTCGCGCCGGCACTGCTGGCGGCGCGGTGCTGCGTGTAGTCCATCTGCCGACGCAATGGGGCATGCGCTGCAGTCCCGGCTGGTGGGGTCGCGGAGTTGCCACCCCCGCCCAGCTGCTGTATGAAGAAGGTGAACTGCTTCCCTCGGTAGACAGGGTGGCGCCATCTCTTTGGCGCGTTTGGCAATCCTGTCACAGCGTTCGTTCCAAGGTGCTCATTGGTGTCCTCGTGCGCGGATTACTGTAAGCAGCCGCGCCCTCCTGGCCGACTGACAGACCTGCGCGGCCAGGAGAGACACGTCGCCCACCTTTGGAAAAAAAAAGCCAGAAGTGGCGCGCATGATTGCAAGTAAGCAGTCCGAGACCACCTCAACTGGAAGTGCCCAGGTACATGGAGGGCAAAGATACACGCCCACAGAATACTTGCAAACTCCGTCGTCACACTGGCGAGCTCGGAGTCGGGCGCGGCGAAAGGCACGCAGCTGCAAACGCGCGAGCTGTAGAACAACAATTGCACGAATATGGACTGCCCCGCACTCGAAGATGGACCCTGCCCCCAATAGGGGCCACCTGAGAAGACGTTGTAACAATACACGGGCGAATCGCGCGACTTCGCCAGTCGGGGGTCTAGTCGCGCGCGCTCGTGGGGGCGCGCCCCCGCAAGGTCGCTCTTGCGGCAAAGGTGCCTTCGTAGACGATCACAGTGAACGTTCAGAGGCAGCGGCATGCGAACCGCGTGAGCGCGACCAAGCAATGCTGACATGGTTTGGTGGAGCTGCTGGTCGTGCGCGTGCTCGTCTGTTCCTTGACCGCGCTCCTCTGCGTGCTCCTCTTGCCTCCTCGTTTCTACCAGGCATAACTCAGGTGGTGGTGAGGATGAGCCTGGAGTGAGAGTCGGCGGTCTCCTTTGATAATGCGAACTTCGCAGCGCAGCGTGGTGTTTACCAGCTTCAGCAAGACGTGCGTCCTCAGCCTCAGAAGTCTCAAGGTGGCGCTGAGTTTCTTGGTCCATTTCAATATTTGCGCCACCAGTAGCATGGCAAGGCTCGCGTCGGATTCTAAAACCAAGTCCCCTGGGGCCCAAGTCGACACCACTGAGGCGCACCGCGGGGATTCTTCGGGGCCCCTGCCGCCCGTATCCTCCGTCCTTGATGGCCTGAAGGGTCTTTGTCGTGACCGGCAAGTGTGTCGGAGCGCCCCCCCAGGCCATTTTCGAAGCTGAAGTAAGAGGTACCCGCACCAGCGTTTCGAGCACGCTGATTTTTCGGTGCATCATGTTACCACTTCACGAAGTAAAACTACTGCATGGTCCTTTTGTGATTGGAGCTCCTCGCATCGCTTTTCCATGGCCTGTGCGTGCTCAGCTGTTTCACCATGTAGTTGCTTTACCATCGTAGACTGCTTTCAACGTGGTCTCCTATTATCAGCTTTCTATGCCGGCTGAGGAGGCCAGAAGAGAACGTATGACTTATCGCTGCCATTGTTGCTGGAGGTGATGTTGAGGTGCTGTTACTTCTTCGTCGGTGAGTAGTTTCTGTGCGGCTTCGTCTTTCCTGAATTCGCTCTTCAGCTTCTCGACCTCTGCATGCTGTAACTGTTGTGCCTGCTGGTATGCTTGTGCTTGTGCCAGCCCTTGTGTTTGGAATCGCGCTCGTGCTTGTGCTTGCTGTTGCTGCTGGGGCACCATAACTTGAGACTGCTGCTGCTGCTGTGTCTGCTGCTGCGTCTGGTAATGCTGTTGCTGCTGCATCTGCCGCTGCTGCTCCTGCAAGAGGCGCTGAGCCAGTCGTTCGCAATGATCATGCAGCTCCCGCGCCGGTTCAGCCAAGAGTCGGTCTCGGGTACTTGCTTCAGCATGGACAACTGCACGATGATAAGAAGGTGTCGACGCTGGCGTGCGGCTGATGTTGGATACTGCAGACCGTACAGTATTATGTACAACTGCTGTTCCGTCACGATTCGCCTGATATGTGGCAGCGCTCGGCGGGGCGGAGGGTGTCTTAGGGCGTTCAAGTACTGGGGCTGGTCCAGGAGGAGGTGGTGGAGGTGGTGTGGTTGTGGAGGTGGCGCATCCTCTCATTCAGACTGGCCCCGCCCAGTACACGACACTGCCAATGCTAAGGCTACCAGTGCTCTGCGCCGATCATGACCATCCTCCCCGCCAGCTCCTGGCGAATTTGAGTCTGGATCAACCGCCTCTGACAACACATCCCCCGAATGACGAAGAGTCGCTTCGTATATCAGTATGTCCGTCGAGAAATTGTTCATCTTCTGCTTGGTCGCCAGCATCTTCTGCTTGGTCGCCAGCATCTGCCCCGTCGCCGTTTCCTTCTCCTGCCGGGTTTGGGACTGCAGATGCCTCTGCATATATCGTAGTACTGCCAGTGTTCTGTTTCCTGCTCTTGGCTCGACGCACGTACTTCTTGACGTCGTATTCCAATATCTGCCTGGGCATGCAAGTGCGACGTGATATCCTGCTTGCGTCTTGGGATGTCGCGAACTGGAGGCGGTTTCTGATAGGTCTCGTGCTTCTCGGCAAACTTCCTCGTGCACAACATCGTGTCCTGGATGACCGTATGGATCTTAGAATGGTTCCATTTGCGTTATTGTGCTCGCTTCTGATCTTCTCTTGCTCGATATATGATTATCCTTCTGAATCATCGGAAATCTTCTGTTGCGAGAGCGGTAATCTGACGAGAGGTTGGAGCTGCCGCACGTACCACCATTCCACCTCTCATGCAATTGGCTCCTCGACGCCACACTACTGCGATGGGCCCTCAAGCAGCTCTGGGCTGAGGTGATCCTCGGCAGCACTCGAGCAGCTACCCGATGTCGCCGCGCTCCTCGATGACTAGCCGGCTCTGGCCGCTTGGCCGTAGGCGCGTGCCTGGCGCGGGCGCCCGCCAGGAGGGGCTGCCGCCGCGGCTGGGGGTATGGTGGGGTCCTCCCCCCCTCGCAGCCCCCATGTCGCGGGCGCCGCGCTGCCGCCGCCCGCCGTGGGTCCCCGCGGGCCCCACCCCGAGTGGGCAACGGCTTCCTCCTCCTCCTCCTCCTCCTCCTCCTCCTCCTCCTCCTCCTCCTCCTCCCTCCTCCCTCCTCCCTCCTCCCTCCTCCCTCCTCGTGGTAGCTCGCGGGGTGGAGGCCGGGCCCCCTTGGCAAGACGGCGCGGCGCCGGAGAGGTAGGCCCGCGGGGCGCTCCAGGGGGGGGTGGGCCTCCCACAGGGGCTCGAGGAGAGGGCCTGGGACGGGGGGCGTACACTGCAGCATCGAAGGAGGCCCTGGGACACGCAAGTAGATAGACACGAATATACAGAAGTCCCCCCATATTTCATATTTCTCTTATTTTCTGGGCCTTCGTGTTCCCCCCCCCCCCATTCCCATATGTTCCCATATATCTTCTGGGGGATCGACGATGAATTGTGTCTCTGTGCTTTTTGTCCCTCCTGGAGCGTCGTTGGCGCCTCCTGGGTTTTCAGACTCTGCTGATCCACCTCCTCCGCACGTCATCCCCTCGTCCATCCCTGCCGCCCTCCCTCTGCTCCCGGCACTCCGACTCCTGCTCTTCCCTCCCGCTTCTGTGCCTCCCCCCTCATCCCTCCCTCTTCCTTCTGATACCCGTGGGCTGACGCCCAAAGAGTCCAAACACGCATCGCCGGCGGCAATAAGAGAATATCCCTCCTCATCCGCTTCCCTTCCTCCCTCACTCTCTCCTCCACGGCTCGCCCTCCCTCTCCTCCATCCCCCCTCCTCCATCTCCGCTCCACCCTCTCTCCCTCTGGTTGGCTGGTGTTGCTATCTGTACACGCAAGACTCCCGCCCCGCTAACCACTAACTGGGACTACGAAGAGGTCGTTGCACACCGGCTCACGCACTGCCACCCCAGCCACCGCCCCGGAAATTCAACAATTCAATGTCCCCTCCACCTCCCTACGCTTCCTGAGCGGGTGTGGCGGGGGGAGCGGTAAGGCAAGATCAATCAACATCAACTCGGGAAATCTGATCGGATCGGATCGGAATGGTCCTCGGATGCGGCCGCATTGGCACGGAACCGTGATCGAATCGGACCAGCCGGGCCAGGGTGCTAAACAGCGCCGTGCGAACATCGGCCCGCATCGGAGCGTGGGCAAATCGAAATCCAACCGGAACGGGCTGGCCAGAACCGCTATCGAACCGGATCGATCGGATCGGCATTGACCCTGACCGCAGATTTCGGGCCATTGCTCGGGTCTCTGGCGGCCGTTCGGAACGATCCGGGCAGCCTTGGAAAGCTCTCGGCGAGGCGCAGCCGCCAGAGCGCCTCCCGAGGCAGGGAGGCCTCGGCCTCCAAGAGCCGACGAAACTGTCCGAAGCCTCCAGGATCGAGGCGGCCAGAATCGGTATCGAATCGGACCCGATCGGATCGAGGTGCGCCGTGGGACGCCCAGCGGCCCTGCCATCGCCGGCCCTCCCTCGGGGCGCCCCCTCTTCGCCGCGCGCGCGAGCTCCTTCTGTGTCTGGTAGTCCAGCCCGAGGCGCTTTGTCACCGCGAGCGTCACCGCCTTCGACGGGCTGGACGATCGAGGCAGGAGGAGGTCCGAGGCTGGAGGACCGAGGGAGGAGGGCCGAGGTCCCTGCCTTCGAAGGTTGGAGGACCCAGGCTGGAGGACCGAGGGAGCAGGGTCGAGGTCACCGTCCTCCTCCTCCTCCTCCTCCTCCTCCTCCTCCTTCCCCCCTCCTCCTCCTCCTCCTCCTCCTCCTCCTCCTCCTCCTCCTCCTCCTCCTCTTCCTCCTCCTCCTCCTCGGATCGAGGTGGAAGAGCCGAGGAAGCAGGAGGGCGATGCTGGGCCTCCTGTTGCGGGGCCTCCCTGGGCCCTCTGGGAGGCTTCTCTGCTGGGCATGGCCCAGCGCAGAGCTCGAGCAGCCGGCCAGGAGGGGCCCCGGCAGACGTCCGCGGGCGCGCCCTCTGCCAGGGAGGGCCCGGGCCTCGCTTCTCGGGGGGGGGCGCATGCGAGGGCGCGAGCGAGCCAGGTGCCCAGCGATGGCCGGGACGACAGGGACGCAGAGGAGATGGACCCGGAAGCCCGGCCCAGAGCTCCAGGGAGGAAGAGAGGAGGAAGAGGAGGAGGAGGAGGACGAGAAGGGGAGGATGGGGAGGAGGAGGAGGGGGAGGAGGAGGAGGAGTAGGAGGAGGAGGAGGAGAAGGAGGAGTAGGAGGAGGAGGAGGAGGAGAAGGGGGAGGATGAGGATGAGGATGAGGATGAGGATGAGGGTGATGATGATGATGATGATGATGATGATGATGATGATGATGATGATGAGGAGGAGGAGGAGGAGGAGGAGGAGGGCCAGAAAGGGTGGGATAGCAAAGGGCAGAGTAGAGAATCAGCTCGGGAGGCGCCCACGTCTCGAGGAGTGGGCCCGGCGGCGGGGCGGAAACCAGCTGCATGCAGCAGATTGCGCAACACCCCGTTCCCCTATCCTACCCTCTCGTCCGGCCTGACTCTCGAAGCCATGCGATCCTTCGACATGCAATCGCCCCTGCTGTCGGCATTCCATTGTCATGGTCTCCGCACCAGCTGCTATGTGCACTATGCGCGGAACTGTCGCGCACACGTGCGCGCGAGGCTTCACGCTCGACGTCGGCAGTGCTCGGAGTGGCGAGGGCTCGGGGAACTCCTGGGGCAAAAACTTACCGAGATCGGCGTATTCACCCTGAACGTAGACCGAGGCATTCCCAGTTTGGTGGGAACGGGCCGATGTTTGGGCCGAAGCCTGCATATCCTCTCCTCAATCGCTTGCTGTTGTTGTTGTTGTTGCTGTTGCTGCTGCTGTTGTTGTTGTTGTTGTTGTTGTTGTTGTTGTGGTTGTTAACGCTGTTCTGCTGATACGTGTGCTACTCCTGCTAGTGTTGGCCTTGCAGCGTTGCTGCTGCTGCAGCAGCTGCTGCTTGTTGTGTACTAACCCACTTAGCCGCATTGGTAGGTTGGCCACCGCTCACTGTTACTCACAGTATGCACCCGTCGCCAATGAAATCATGTTGTGTGCATGTTGGCATCAGTGCCACTCGCATCATTAGACGTGTGTTTAAGTAGTCGCAATCGTATACGCAATCACTTCACTAATCTCGTTGCTCGTTCGCCCCGCGAGTGCTTCGAGTAGATCACACATGCAGATGTCCTCCGCGCTTCAGTTGGGACGTGCGTAGCGGCATTCACAAGAAGAACAGCGATGCCGCTACATCAGGGGGGGGGAGAGAGCGAGAGAAAGAGAGAGAGAGACCGGACACATCGATCCAGGGCCCATGCAGCTGCCCCATCTGCCTTTTGCGGGGGAGGGGGGGAGGGAAGCACGGATTGCGATTATGTTTGGGCCGCGGGCGCCGAATTCCCCTCCCCGAATTGCTACCGCTCTGCATGCAGCGCCGCGCTGCAACTAGGTGGGGGTCCGTGGCAAGCAGGACACGGCCCGCGCAAACCTCTTCAGCGGCGAGCGGCCCCCCCCCATCCCGACCGATCGGCAGATCGGGCCAGAGCAAGCTGGCGGCACCCCAACCAGGCCGTGGCCGGCGGCTTCCCCTCACGCGGGCACGCGCTGCGCATTGGACAGGTCGGCCAAGGGCCTCGCGGCTCGCTGCCTCGTGGGCTGGCAACACACAGAGGCCGTAAGCTGAGGAGGCAATTCAACTCCTCGGAGGTCTTCGCAAGAACGAGTGAAGGCGACTCGGCCCGATTAAGGGGCCACCGAGCCGGATTAGCTTGGATTAAGCCTAGCTCGACTAAGCCGGACCAAGCGGGATCAAGCGGGATTGAGCTGGACTATGCTGGATGTGGCTGTTTTTTCGGCCACGGATGTACCAGCGCGGATGCTGAAAGATGACATCCCAGAAATTGCATCCTGACATGCATCAGGACGTATGCTTGCTACTTCTAGCATCTGGGGCAACCTTCGGGATCCTGCACTTCAAACAACAACGGTCCGGGACGGGAAGTTGGTGCCAGGCAGGTCGTCGAGAGGTCCAGGGACCCCGTGCGGCTGGCAGACACGAAGAAGAATCGCACCATAAGGAATGCGAGCGTTTTCTTATTCCGCGTTTCGACATTGGGCGGAAAGGGGTGGGGAGGGGGGTTCTGGCTCCGGACCTCTGCTGGATGCGTCTGCTTGCAACCGTGCGTCCTGTGGGGGGAGGCTCCACCGCCTCGAGACAGGCGCCCAAAAACAGCCAAGATCAACTCCATGGGGGAGTGGGGCAGGGGGGGGGGGGGCGAGGGCCCGCGCCGGTCGGCAGAACAACGAATCAGAAAACGACGACAAGCTAGGGGCACATCCCTCTTCGACTCTGAGCTCTGTGAGGTGCTCACGGGCTCCGCGGGCCCACCGGGCACACCTACGGGTGTGCCTGCCTTCTCGGACACGGGGCCTCGGAGGTCCCGGAACGTGCCGACGGCACTGCGCCCCCGACCCTCTCCCCCCAGGTGCGGGCCCCAAGAACATACACCGCCACCACCACCATTATGTCGATTCCTCCTCCCCCCTCCACCCTCATCCTCCTTCCCTCTTTCCTGGGAGGGGGAGGGGATGAGGCAGGAAGCGGCGGCGTATACCTGTGGGCCCCGTACCAGGTGCTTCGTAGGCGAGACTCCGAGAGTGATCCGGCCGTGGCGGCGAGGGCCCTCAAGGGGGGTCCCAGCAATGCGAAGTCGAAGGTAGTTACAGGGAGTCCTGAGGAAGGATTTCTGGCGATTCCCTCCGAATTCGTTAGGACCTCATGGCGATGCTCTTCGTGTTTCCTCTGGGATGCGATGGCAAGAGCGGTCAGCATCGAACTGATGAATCGGATCGCATCGGAACATGCATCGAATCGAGTCGCATCGGCCAGGAACCGAAATCGAATCGAATCGTATCGGCTGCGCCAAGATGCCGGGCAGCGCCATGCAAGCACAAGGCCGTGTCGGATCGACGGAAAATCAGAGTCGAATCGGATCGAACTTATCGGCATCGACATCGAGTCGGATCGATCGGCCCGAACGGGTCCCGGATCGATTGGCTGACGAGCTCCTCAGCATCGGCATCGAGGCTGGTTTTCCCCACGGAGCCTCGCGGTACCAAAGGGATCGACATCCGCTGCCTTCGAATCCGCGGCCTCCCCGCCCACCTCAGACGCACGCAAGGAGTGGCCCTGGGCGAAAGCGGGCCTGTGGTGCGCAGCTTGCGGATCGTTGCGCAAGATGCGACGGTGCAGTCATCGTGATATCATGAGGACTCGTCCAGTAAGCAGCGAAGGGGCGGTTCTGGCTGCGGCCGGCCTCGGCCAACAACAGGATCCCCGACCTAGACCTAGATCGAAGCAACGACCAGAAATGGTCATCATTTCGGCGTCCCTGGCTGTAGGGGCCTGCGTGCCTCCGCTTGGCCCCCCCCGCGCCCCCGAAAGCCGCCCGCCGGAGGTCACTCTGGCGAAGGACCGCTCGGCTCTCGGGCCACATCTCGGGACTCTGGCGGCCGTTCGCAGCGATCCGGGCACCCCAGCAACGCTCCCGGCGAGGCGCAGCTGCCAGAGCGCATCCCGAGGCAAGAAAACCTCTGGGGCCCGCGCGCCAGAGGCGACACCAGCGAAGGGTTACTCTTGCGTGCACGTGGATCACCGCAGGGGGGCTGAGGGGTTAGGGGGGGGTATACAGTCAGGCTTGATTGGAGAGGACACGCGAGAGGACGCAAGACCCTTCCGAGGGATACATTGCCATCATAATGTAACAGGCGCGCGTCTCTAAAGACAGGACACAAGGATACCCTTGACTTGGCAGGGTCGACCTACTAATCAAGGCCGACTGCAAGTGGATGCTAACATCTAGGGTGGCTTCTATCTGGCCCAGCCTGGCTTAGAGGTGCGCTACAGATGTGCTGAGAGGCTTAGGGGGTGAGATAGCCCGCCCCCGTCAGCGAAACCCACTTCGCCTGGACCTGCATCTCCCTAAAACCACTTAGGACACTTGTCAGCCGCCTATGTGCTAGGTTTGGCCAAATATCACCCACCTTCGCATCCACTTGCACCGACCCCTGTCCAGGGGAAGACATAGGTACCGATACCGCTACTTCCCGGACATCTCCCAGGGTGGGTTCTGACAAGGTTTTCGAGGCGAACTCAACCGTGGCGACGAGGGCAGGGTAGCGGTGCCCGTAATTCTTCGTCTGATTCCCAAGCATCCGATGTCGTGGTGGTTGCAGTGCGCGATCCCAGGAGGTCCCCGAGCTCTGCCTGGGGTCCGTTGCTCATCCCGAGCAAGCGAAGGCCCCCATGCAGAGGCCCAAAATTTAAAAATCCCTACGTCATGACTGCTATGAATTCGTTGGAGGTCTGGGTCCAGCTCGCGGATCGTAATTAAGCTCTCTGGCGGCCATTCGTCAGAGCCCGGAACGCCCCCGGCGAGGCGGAGCTCGTGGAAAGCATCCCCAGGCTGGGAAACCGCAGAGATTCGACGGGAGGTCTGGACTAGCTTCCACGTGCAACGCCCTGCCCTCTGTCTCCTCAGCAGCCCCCGCTGTGATCCGAGGGGCTGTTCTTCT